TTAAGCTAGTTTTCAACATTAAGGAAAAAGATTGTCCTGGACACCATTTCACTGTCTAGTTTAGAATGTAGGTTTGACATTCCAGAATTCATTAACCCTGAACATAAAATTTTGACTACCTATCTGTACGTATTTTTCTTTACAAAAGGTAATCCGATGATAATCCTATGAATGAACTATTAAATTATTCTGTCTACTAGTAAATGAATGGAGTTTTATTACTTTAACAGAAGGGTTTAGGTTCCTAAGGAAAATAATAATAAATTAATAATAGCATTAAGCTAAAGTAGCACTAAATACAGTTGATTGTTCACTTCTATCCCTGAGTTCCACAACCACTGATTCACTTATAGGACAGAAATATTGAAAAAACTTGTACTAAGTATATGCTTCTTTCTTGTTCTTATTCTTTTAAAAATACAGTGTAATAACTACTTACATCATATTTACATTTTATTAGTCATTTTAAGTAATTAAGTTACTATTACAAATTATTTTAAAGAATATGGGAAGATCTATGTATGCTGTATGTGAATACTCTACCATTTTGTGTGAAGGGACTGGAGTATTACTGATTTTAGTATAAGGATGGAATCTTGAAGCAAATACCCCATGGATATCAATTATTAGTAAATTAGCTTAAAATGGGGATACAAGAAGGGAATTTATTTTTAAGGGTATTTTTTTCACTTGGTAGTCTACTCACAAGTCAGGGCTCAGTTTTAGTTTAACTGACTTTTATTTTAACTAATCATTCAGACAGTGCGTTTCCCTGATGTTTTCCTGCTCATGCTGTCAACTAATCCTCTTAAAATGGTTCATTCACTCAACAAATTTTCCCTACATCTTGGAAGGCACCATGCCAGGCAGCAATGAAAACTACCCCTGACCACAAAGATCTTGCAGAATGACAGCACTATGTTTGTAAACCTGGTGAAAGCTAGATGGCTGAAAGGAATTATAAGGACTACTTCTATCTGCTTGAGGAAAGCAAAAATAAAAATAGCAGAGAGGAGGTGATGTGCAAGATTTAATATGTAATATATAACATTTAAGGTACACTTCCTTGAGAAAAGGATTACTGTGCTATAGGATCAGAATATAGGTGGAATTTTAATGGAGGAACCCACTGGAACACTGGCAGCACTGCGTTCATATGAGCACCGGTATGATAGGAATGCCTGCTGAGGAGAGTTGGAGGCCAGGAGCCAGAGAGAAGACTACGCCTGTCAGTGTGTACAGGTGACTTGGCATCTTTGTAGTATGCAAATAAGTCTGACTGATGGTCTTTAAGAGGCAGAAGCTCTTTGAATTTTTTATTTTTAATTAAAACTTTGTGTAAGTGTAGTTTCATGTGCAGTTGTAAGCACTAACACAGAAATATACCACGTACCCTTAATCTAGTTTCCTCCCATCATTGTTTTGCTTTTTGTGCCCCAAAGTTTTGTCCATCTGGTTACACGTTCTTTAGGCAACTAAAATGTATTTTGCTGTTGTTGGAAAGGACAGTCCTCTATAAACATCTATTAAAAGTTTTGGTTGATTGTTTTTACTATATAGTTGTTGAGTTCATTTCTCTTGTTCCATCAGTTATTAATACAAGGATATTGTATTGAACAGAACTCAGAAATCAAAATGGCAGAGACAGCTTCCAAGGGAGTGATGCTAAAGACAGAAACATCTGTCCTAAAGACTGTTGTACTGTCTAATGGTAATGTGAAATATGCAACTGAATTCCACAGGCAAAACTCAGGTTAGAAATGCAAGCACAGAATGAACAGCAGTCAAGATGAAATACCAGCTGACTGTCAGCCATGAATACATGACAGGGGACTTAAAAAAGAGGAAACACTAAGAGAAGAGGTACTAAAAAAATAGATGCAAAGGAATTCACGATAAGTAGAGGGTGGGATGTGAAGGCAATGAAGTTAGTCACTTGCGGGTTCTTAATTTGGATGACTGCGCGGATGGACATGACATTAACAGAACTCTGGAGCACATGAAAGGAAGCACATTTTGCCAGAAAGAGTTCAGTTCATGTCATCTTGAGTATAAAGTAGATATGGACCATCCAGAGATGTCTAACAATAAGCTGACATTCCAATGGAAGGTCTGATATAGAAAAGGGATTTTGGAGCCTTGGTTTAACTAACAATATTCAACTCTACCTGCAAGGAAATTACGCAGGATATGTAAACAGAATGGAAAAAGAAGCCTAAGAATATGACCCTATTAAATGCCAACATCTAGGACCTCTGGGAGAGAAACCAGGAGAGGAAAGTGACATCCACTTGTCATAAAGAGAGAATGGGGAGGAGAGTATAATTTAGTTCTCCAACCTTCCACTGAGTGCTAAATACGTGAAGTGCAGTGGGCTGGAAGACCGGCTTTTCATAGTCTTACACTCTTCTAGATGTGAACAGGTTATTTCACTATACTGAGGCCAGCTCAGTGATCTGCACACTCAGTGTGTAATAGAAAGATAGAAAAAGGCACTGAACACAGCCCAAGAGTGGAAAAAAACTTTCATGAGATGATAAAAGATAAGCAGCATCTTTAGGGATAGTGACAAAACAGGTAAGGAAGGACAGAGGGAAAGTCACCCCGAGTAAAGACACTGCATGAGCGATAGAAAAGGCAAGGGGGCTTAAGCAAGACAGAATTCCCTAAAGGGAGCAGTCAACAGAGCTGAGAGCTACCTAAAAAGAAAATAAAATTGGATTGAAGAGGGCCCTTTGAGTTTGCCACTTATGAAGTCACTCATGACCTTGGCTGTAGCTGCTTCTTTGAAGTGAAGGAGACCGAAAGCAGCCTGCAGTGAGACGAAGCAGGAACAGAAGAATGTGAAGTTTGATGATGAAAGCAGGATCACTTTGCAAAGAGCGTAATGAGGAAGAAAATACAGACAGGCTAGTTAGAACTGCTCAAAGGTCTAAAGAGGATTTATTTTATGAACAGAGAGAATTGAGGACATTTACAAGTTGCAGAAAAGAAAGGAGAGTGCACAAAAGGTTTAAAATGTAGCTTACTTTATCCACTCATTCACACAAGGAAGATTTACGGAAATTCTACATGTTCTTCAGCACATCTTGCCAATATAAACAACCACCTTTCTGGATGGTGTTAGCATCGTGTTTTAAACATACTTGAGCAACACAGAAAGTCAATGGCAAGGAGAAAAGACGGTACCTCAGTTCTAAAGTCAGCTTAGTAGTTACAAATACTCAGAATAGTGAATTCTGCTTTGTCACAATTATACCAAAAAATCTCACAGTTCAATGTAAGCATACAATATTGAGATTTTGTTTGCTTCAGGAGGAATGATTACCTCAGCAAGAACATTCACTCTGCTGCAAGGAATTTAGTAGGGAGTAGGCAATTATTACCAGCAGTCAAGTTCATGTCAGTTCATATCATATCAAACAAGTGATGTATAGGAGTACATGATGGTTTATGCTTGTATCAAAGTTTGTTTAGTATCCAGAGACAGTTAAAAAGGATAGAACTCTAATGGCCTTTAAACTATAAAGGGACCAAGAGAATTTTCTGAAGCTAGAAACAAGGAGCTCATTATTAGTTTTTTTTCTCATTGAGTTGAAGACTGTTAATAGTGTAGAGTTTCTTGACATCATCTAACACTTTTCTCCAGACACCGCATGTAAACTTTTCTTCTCATTCTTTGTCTGATTTTAAAAGATCTTTTTATGTGAGAGACTTATGCTCATATTGAAGTTACCCATTCTGCTACCATAACAGATATGTAAATTTTTCTCCTATTATTCCTAAATTTAACTCTCCATAACTATGCATTACAGAAATATTTATTTTATGTGTAGAAATACTTTAGATTTCAAAAGATACTATGAAATAAATCCGTTGGGCATATCATTTTTAGAGTAACCCCTCCCAATTCCTTCATCTCATGAAGGTTTTTTTTTCATTCTGGCTCCCTTCTTTCAGATGTTTTTATCTAGTTAATTTTTTAACCCTCTTCATTATACCAAACAAGCTTTTAAATGTGAAACAGTCAAGTTGTAACAATGAATATGATCAGTATTTTTAAAGTAATCCTACCAACACCATATGGTTGAAACATGGGCAGCTATAATATCCAGGAATTTAATGCAGTAATCTATAAGCAACTCCAGTTCTCTCATTTCATTTATGAATTATGCTCCAATTTAAATAGAAAAATGTAAATATTTCTGTATGTTTGTATTACATTAGTCTTGCCCAAAATGTCCAGAACCATTCTGAATGATAATTTAGCAAACTACCATATTGGTTATCTCTCCAAGATTTTGATCTCATCCATATCTGATGAGTATATTGTCTAAGCCTTCATACAAGCACTGATAAAATGAAAGAGAACAGATGTATAAGGAGATTTTCTTTTTGTTTTTTTTTTTTTAGTTTTCCTCTGGTACCAGGAATTGAACTCATGACCTTGCACTTGCCAGGCAGATGCTGTGCCACTGAGCTAAATCCCCAGCCCTGGAATTTTCTATTACAAATTCAAAAACTTTATCCCAGGGTGACAGTAATGTATCTTCAAGAAATATACAGTCTTTTCTCCTTTATATTCAAAGTTCTTATCAAAAGTCTTAGAAAATACTTAGCTATGCTTAAAACAAAATATGTTTGAAAATCCACTAATTCTGTACATATACAAAAAAGTGAATCTGTGTTGAATGGTCCATGATAGCTGTTTCCTTTTCTTTACCTCTGAAATTAGTATCAATTTGGTGATCCTTTCTAGAGATCTAGAAGAGGTAGAAATTAAGCCCATTACTATATTTGATTCAAAATTTATTTTTTACTGACTTTGTTCTTCAGTCCAATTGAAATAGGTGTTATTTCCTATTTTTCTCTAAATTTTAACTCAAAGATGATGTAAAACTGTCTCCTATCTCCATCAAAATTTTACTGCTCCTACTCAGGATGATTGAAATCTTCTCAGTAAAGTAATTTTTCTTATATGTGATAATATTTTTTCTTACCTCATATAAAACTGTAGTGTTCCCATGCAGGAGAGGTCCATAGCAGATGTAAGAATGTCCAACAACCCAGCCTAAATCAGAAGCTGCCCACCACACCTAAAAAAAAAAAAGATATTAAGATAGCTATTGATAAGATAATAAGAAGATAAAATGCAAATATGTGTTAATGAGAAAAACTGCATGTAATGTAAACTTAAAATCATGGTTACCTCTCCAGGTTTAAGTCCATATATGGAAGACATTGTCCAGTTTAGCATTACAGCATATCCCCCAGTGGGCCTGACCACACCCTAAAGGACAGAAAATGTGGAGTTAAAACTAATTAAAAATGTGTACAAGGTTCTCCATTTTCATACTACCTATTTGAAAACTTCCAGGTTTAAAGTATGTGATATTGTATAAGTATCAAACTATTTTGACTTTCATATATTATTTCTTTCACTTCTCCAACAGTAAACCCAGAATAATTTGTCTTATCAATGCCATTTGTGGAATCCATCTTCACATGATATTCTTGACTTTATAAAGAAAAGTCAGGATTTCACAAAATTACATACAACGAGTACTCTTTGGAGGGTGGGCTATACTACTCAACATTACATTTTAAGATAGAATACCAGAAAAAAATAGAAACAAATTAAGTGAATAAAAAATTAAAATTTAATCATGTGCCAAAAGTGTAGACTAAGATGAGGATATCTATCTCTCAAAATAATTAAATACACCAGGCAGCTTAGAGGAAACAAAGTTATCCTCTAACTGGAGCCTGATTTCAGTGCTAACTGCGAGTCATGAAAACACAGTATTAAAGTTGAACTCTTTAACGATGGAGTTTGAAAGTCTGAGGGATGAGTCCTGATGATTGGACCTTATGTTAGTGTATTTGCCTAATAGTGGATTTGAGGCCAATCCTAGAGATCGTTAAGTCATTACTGGGCAGTTTTCACAAGTCAGTTTTCAAAAGCTTTCTTCAATATCAAGTGATGAATACTCGGTACAAAGAAAGACTAATGGCAAATTTAATAATTCATTAAGAAAAGTATCATTAGTTCAATAAGGCATAACCATATGAATATTCAGAATAAGCAGAAATAAAAGAGAGAGAGACAGAAAGAAACAGAAAGAGAGAGAGAGAAAGAAAGAAAGAAAGAAAGAAAGAAAGAAAGAAAGAAAGAGAAAGAAAGAAAGAAAGAAAGAAAGAAAGAAAGAAAGAAAGAAAGAAAGAGAAAGAAAGAAAGAAAGAAAGAGAAAGAAAGAAAGAAAGAAAGAAAGAAAGAAAGAGGAAAAGAAAAAAGAAGAAAGGGCATTTTACACTTTTACCTTTTAGTACAATGATTATAAAACTGCCCTGTTTAAAATCATACTATTTTAAATAGAAGGTGAACTTGGCCCTAATTAATGAATTTTCTATTAATTGTAGTTTTTAGCTACTTTAACACACACACACACATACACATGAATAGGGCAATAAAAAACAAATTAACTTTCCATTAGTTATAAAAATTGCTGTATTCCTCAAGTACCACTAATAAAACATAGGTGTCAAGCTGTGGAACATATTTTATCTACTAGCAACAGCACCTGCTCCTGGCAAATATCAGATGCAGCTTTGCTGGCATTTGAGAGCTATTTTCCAGGTTCTACGGCAGGATTAGCATACAGCTGGCTCTCTGGGTCACCTTGGGAATATTAGAGCCCCTGAGCACCCTGCCAGCAAGCTTCACACATGCACTATGCCATGTACAATGAGCAGCTATTTTCTCACTCTATTGTCCTAAGTTCACTTTGCTAATTAGTCAGAAGACTTTTTCCTATGGTCCGATAACTTGAGGAATAAGATACTAGTCACTTCACAATTTTTTCTAGAAAATTTTATTTATTTGACAGAGGAGAAAAATACAGTTTCTTTCATAGACAATATACTGTACATACATTATGGTAGATAATGCTTTCTAACGTCAATAATAACTTAAGATGTTTTGCTATTTTCTACATAGGTATTTTATGAGAAGTTTGGACAATCAAAAAGGAAATACTAGGATTAAAAGGATACTTTATTAAAAGTGTAAATTCATGAATAAAATAAGAAAAATATTTTTCTTTCTTATTTGTAATTATATTTTTCAAGTGATGATATTTGCAATGCAAAGGAGAAATCTAGGGGGCTGGACATTTAGCTCAGTGGCACTGTGCCTGCCTGACAAGCACGAGGTCGTGAGTTCAATTCCCAGTACTGGATTACAAAAAGGAGAAATCTGTATAGCCTATGAAAACATAAATCTTAAAAAATTGTATTTAGGTAAGGAAAATTAATCACAAATAAAAAAGACACTATTCTGTCCTTAGACAAGTTTATAGTATCTCCTGGCCTCAAGTAATCCTCCTGCTTCAGCCTCCAGAGTAGCTCAGACTACCAGCTTACACCACCGTACATGGTTCTACAAATAGCCCTTTTAAAGTCTATCTGAAAATTGATGCATACAGTAAAAATACTTATTCAGTGCAAACACCCCTAAAACACAAGCTTCTTGCATTTTATTTTTAAATCTGTGCTATTACCTTCTATATGTACTTACATCCTAAAAAGTAAAAACATTAAGTGATCTTATATGTGCTCAGGAAATCCTTATGCTTTGCCAGGATGCTGTTCCTGAGGTGTTTTGTTGTGTTTGGTTTTTTTGTTTTTTTTTTTTTTTTTTTTTTTTTTTTTTTTTTTTTCCTGTAGGATCGGCCACAATCCTTAAAATCTTCTGGAGATTGTGAAAAGATACAGGTGGAAATAGCATCTGGGCTCCAAATGGAAACATGAAAATGAATTCCATCTTGGCAATGGGAAATAAGACAATGTAAGGGTCCTCTTTCTTTTTGACAACTTAGAAAGTGCATGGTATTTTAAAATGTCATTCTTTACAAGAAAAATTAAAGACTGATTACTAGTCACCCAGGAACAGAACCAAAGAGCCCTCAGAGATAGCTCTTTAAGAAACGCAGCTGCTGTTTAAGACCAAGAAAAGTCACAAAATATTACACACAAAACTATTCAAGTAAAACAGAAAATCTGAGTTGGCGTAACTTGAAAAACACCATCGGAACTATGGGTATTGAAAGGCAAGAGAAGGGAAGACAAAGATGCATGGTAAAATGAAATCAGGGTAAACTTTGTTCTAAAAGCAATGTGTGTGTGTGTGTGTGTGTGTAAATGATGGCAAATCTTACAATTATGTTTATACATACATGTGTTTTACACATATACACATATGTGTGTGTTCATGTATGTACAAGTACTTCAACCCAACCTGACTAGCTGAGAAAAGAAAGAGACAGGAAATACATATCATACTTAATAAAATAAACCCACACCAGGCGTGGTGGCATACACCTATAATCCCAGTATTCAAGAGGCTGACGGGAGGATTACTTTGAATTTGAAGCTATCTTGAAATATATAATAAGATCCTGTTTCAAAAATCAAACAAACAAATAACTTAGAATTCTATTACCTAATGATGGTTGGATTTAGAGAATCATGATAAAAATAGTTCTGATTTACTCAAAAATTCTGTACACCAATGATAACCTTGCCATGGTAATGACTTTACTCTTATCATCTCTTCTTCCTAGAATGAGTTTCCAGTCCTTTCTGCACCTGATTTCCCACTTATACACACAAGTACATAAAGACACTGCACACCTACTGCCTCCCCTGGGAACATGCATCCAGTCTCACTGCCAGTAAGATTCACACATGCATTTTGCCACTTACAATGGGCAGCTACTCACCCAGCGTACTCTATCCTACCTTACATGTCTTTTGTTAATTAAACACAAGGTCTTTTCCTATGGCTCAGAAATTTGAGGAATTAGATAGTAATCACTTTTTCCTAGAAAATTTCATGTATTATGCACAGGAGAAGATATAGTTTCTTTTCTGCACAATATATTGTCCCTATGTTATGATAGGTAGCAATACTTATTGCACTGTGTGTCTCTCCTTCCTGTCCCACAGTACCCAGGGCCAGAAAACCTCATCAAAGCACTGGCGTTACCTCCCCACCTTCCTGTACCTGCTCTACCTATCTGAACCGTAGGAGGATAACACCTTTGTATCTTCCGTGCCATGTCTGGCGTAGAATGGGCATTTCATACGTTTGTTGACTGAGTTAAAGAACAGGGGAGTGAATAAACTAGTGTGAACAATGCAACTCTTTTGTAAAAAATACCTTTCTTCATTCAAGAGAAATGCTCGAAACTTTTGGAACTTAGTGTTGTCATTTTAGCAGAAATGGAATGGTTCCATTTGGGCTATTTCATCTAATATAAAATCTCTTGCTGCAAGCTTTTAGATGACTCTGAAACTATCTCTGTGGAAGATACTCTAGCAAGTGTATAATTTTTTATTGATCTGAACAGCTGTGAGATAAGGAGCAAAGATGCAGCAAGTTCAGCATTTTAGCTGTAGGAATTGTACCACAGAATAAAACAAAATCAAAAGATTCACCTCCCTCCCTCTCTCTCTTTCTATCCTTTACACACACACACATACGCAAACACACACGCACGCACATAGGTTCTTTTTTTCCCTGGAGCAGGGAATAAGAGTGAAATCTCCTAATAACAAGTAGAAATAAAAGTTAAATAAGTTGTAGAAATGCACAGAAGAATAAAAGGCCTTATTTGTCACTTTCCTGTTATGCCTTCCTTCCAGTGCTTTCCTTCAGTTTTCCCCTATTCGCCTTTGGCACTGGGTTTATTTTTGTTATACATCCCTCCATGATACCAAGCTAGAAGATGATAAATATAACCATGATTAAATCTCCTGTTCCCAAAGGAACTCTCCATGCAGATGAGGGCTTTTTATTGTGTAGGGCATTGGAATGTATTGAATCCAGGTACTAAAACCAAACCGGATAGAAGGCCACAATACAACAAAAATGTATGCAAAGCAGCTTAGCTGTAATTGTTGGAGTATTTGCTAAGAGATTAACCTGTCATATAGCAACCTGACAACTCCACCATTGGTATATGCCAAGATGCAAGTATGCCATAAATATATCTGCAAACTCCCACCAGAAAACGGACTCCTTTATGTATGTTTTATGTGCCTATAAGCAATTAGCATTTTAAGCTAATATTTTATTACCTCAAATATTATTTTCCTCACATAGGTCAAAAATCAAGAAAACAAACTATGGTGCTATAAAATGTACTTCACTATAGTAGGTGTGCTCATCTTTCCTGCCCTTGTGTTCTAGAAATATCAGCATTAAAATTCAGATAGTATTAATACTGGCTGGCACTGCACAACTGAGGTGAGAACTGTATGAATAAAGAAAAGTCAAAGAGCTAACTGGAGAAGTTAGAGATGATTCATTGAATACTCTGAGGATCTGCTGTAGTCAAATTTTGTGACTAGGCAGTGAAATAGAACCAAAGAAATATGATATACTCTAAAACTTGACATGGAATGTGTAATGTAGTTTAAAATAAGTGGAATAAATGTCTGTTGGTGTCATACAATCTCAAAAATTATAATTCTTAAGTCCAACAGAGGGAAGAAGAGTATGTCTGAGGGACACGAAGAAGTACTTACCTTTTCTTGTTATTCTACAGGTCATACTCTACAAAACACATTCACTCCCACTATTTAAATGCCAGCCCTCCACACTGATGACACATAAAGGTCTAAGCTCCCACTCCAGGTGTATTTCGAGGGCTCAGACTCTCACTCCAATTTTTGACCGGGCATCATCTCCACGTTAATGTAGCAAAATTCATCATACTTAATACGGCTCTCATAGCCCCAAACCGTCCTCTTATATTTCTATTGCAGTAAATATTCAAAATCACCTCTCTGTTTTCTCAGGTGCAATTTCTGGAACTCTTACTCTGCCTCACTCCTAACCTTGAGCCAAATCTGATTCCTCCCCTTTAAGTGTAAAAGTAAAATTCTAAACTAAACAGCCGCACAAACAACCACCCTGCTTCTGTCACAGTTATGTATCTCCCTAATGGAGGAATCACACAGTCTGCCTGACCTTTACCTTCGTGCGTGGACATTTGCTCCAGAGCAGATGAGCAGGACCGTGGTTTCTTATAGTTTTATCTGTTCTCACAAAGAATGACTACTTAGCACCTGCACATTGAGTTGAGCCAAATTCAGTGAAAATGGGGAGATTTCCAAGCAATTAAAGGCATCTCTAGCTTACTGGAATATACTCTTCTGGGTGATATATTAGGAGGAAAATAATAGAGAATGATACGAACATCAAAAGATCTTTGACTTGGGCATTGAAAGGAATCCAGAGACAAACAGACCCTTAATTAAGAGATTCCTTAACCAAGAGAAAACTAGGGTAGCTTTAAAAGCAATTTTTTTTTAAAACCTTCCTTATTCATAATCACCATTTTCAAACTTAATGGTCTGTTTATTATTTTTATTTTATTTCTTTTCCACTGGCTCAATCAGCTTCAAATTGCTGATCAGCCCTCCTCCTTTTATATAGGTCCCAGTCCAGGCCACGGTGAATTTCAGAGTGCTTTAAAGTCTTGAGATGGAGCAAATATTTTATAAAATTTCCTGAGATGTTAAAGAAGCTAAAATGCTTGGTTTTTGTTTTTGGTTATTTTATTTTGTCTTCTAAGTTTGATTAAGTTATACTATGTTTTCAGACTCAGGTTTTCCTCCTATGGTAATATTTTTAGAATGGCTTTAATTTTACTGGGTCTTCTTTCTTATTTATTTATTTACTTATAGCATTGCATCTTCAATCCCAGGGCACTCTTTACCACTGAGCTACATACATTCCCAGCACTTTCATGAAAAATATTCTTAGGAGACAGAACTCAAACTTGCAAGGCTCCTGCCTTGGCCTCACTCAGTGCTGGATAAAATTATATGGGTGCACCACAGCACCTGGCTCTTTTTTTATTTTATAGTCTAATGTTAACTTGAATACTATGTAGTGAGTTAATTAGAAAATCTGGAGGGTGAAAATTGTATCTAGCAAACCATGTAGACAAATCTCAATCTTCAACATAACAAAATATTTAGCTCTGAAATGACTAGAGTTCTAAAACATCACAATACAAGTAAAACATGTATGTTTATGTAAATGCACTTGTTTAATTACATATCCAACAAAAAAAATTACTGACCACCAACTGTATACAAAACATGATGGCAGAACAAATGTAATAAAACATGATCTCTGTCCACCAAGAAAGTATGCTCCCGGGGCTGGGGATTTAGCTCAGCGGCAAAAGCACAAGCGCAAGGTCACGAGTTCGGTTCCCAGTACCGGAGAAAAACCAAAAAAAAAAAAAAAGTATGCTCCCCTAGCAAAGGTTTTCCTTTTAATAACCAAATTTTGATGGCATGCCTTCAATTTCCTTTTAAGTGCCATATTAGCTTTTAAAATAATTAAAATTAAGAAAATGTGTTTTCAGACTCTGATGCTACAGACATCTAATAATAATGGATATCTCTATTCCCAGGGATGAAAATGATTGTGACATTCTCTTCCCCCGCTAAAATGCCTTGATTCACTGAGTACTGAGCCCTCTAATAAAGATGATAGGAAGGAAAACACTGCATGCTTTGGTGAAGGTGTATAAAGAAACAGCATTATTTGTAGATACCAGGAAATGTGGTATTTGTTGATATCTGAAACATTTATGAATACTGGTGCTTTTAACTGCTTTGCGGAAGCACCTTTTCATAGTAAGTAGATTTCAAACTGTTGAGTACTGGCTGGGCATGGTGGCACATGCCTGTAGTTCAAGTACTTGCGAGGCTTAGGCAGGAAGATCACCATGAACTTAAGGCCAGCCTGGGCAACATAGTGAGTTCAAGAATAGCCTGAACTGCCTAGCAAGAACCTGTCTCGAAAAACAAACAAAACAAGAAAAAAAAATTCTTGAGTTTAGTAGTTCAATAATTTGGATAAATTGCTGTTATTCAAATTATCTAGGCCAATTCTCAGACACATTTATGACAAAGAATTGAATTCTTCTAGATTTAAAATCAATTCCATAACATGGAAGCTATATCTCCTTTTTAAAAAGCAACTTTATTTCATGTAAAATACATGGGGTTTTTTTGCCCTGAGTTTGATTCTTATTACTGAAAAAGTAAACACATAACTAGAATTAAACAAAAATTTAAACACATGCATAGAATTAAACAAAAAATTTCTTTAAGCTATAACTTATGTCTAAATATCAAGGTGCACACTCTGTAAGCATTACGGTCAGTAATTAGATATTCTCATTGTAAAAGAAATGTATTACTACAGATCGTTACCCTGAGAGATTGAATACCTTAGGTAACCCCGTCGTTCCAGATGTGTAAAGAATATACAAAGGATGCTCTGAAAGGACAGGAACACAGTCATGGGATTGGGCTTTTGCCATTTCTTCTTCCCAATCAAGATAGCGACCTGGAACCAAAGGAACCTCCTCCTATATAGCAAAAAAAACAGAAAATGTGCACTGTAGGAAGGCGGTTACATCAAAGGAACAATAGAGAGTATCTAACTTTACGTAAGTCTGAACATCCGCCTGAAAATCCACACCTGTAAGGCACTAAATATTGGATTTATGACTAAAAAACTCAAGGTTGTGAGTTAAGATAAGTGTTTACAAGTCCCAGTAGTGTGATGCAGGCTTCAACTGAATTGACAAAAGCAGGTTTTATTCAAATCTAGGGGTACTCGTAAGAAAGTTAATCTGATGCAGTTATGTTTCCTTCAACACTCAAGGCTTAATTAGCACTGAGGCTCACAGATGCAGGTGCCCTAAGAATTTTATACACTAAGTTCTATTTTTTTTTGCATCCTATTTCTTTTGCTTTAGAAGTTCTGTCTTCACGATGAAATGTCAGCTAGTCTATTAAATTTCCCTTCATTTAAGGGCAGTTGCGAGTAATACTGCAGACAAATGACAGAACGCCAAATTATCTGCAGGGCTAGAAGAGAATTTTACTCTTCTTTTTCAAGAACAATGACCAGTGTTTAAAATTACTGTGATACATACTAAATGCTGTCTAAATTTTCCTCCTTCAGGGTCATTCATTAATGTGATAGAAATGTTTTTCTTTTTCTGTGAACCATGCTCTGTGTTATAAATTTTGGGATAATCCTGTCATCAGTTAAACTGGTATGCCTTTAAATAAATGAAACAGATGTCTTTAAACACAATGGCTGTGAAATTTCCACAATGATGAAGAGTAAGAAAGGACTTAGGAGAAAGTTACTATAATGAAGAGTTACAGCTAAGTAGAGTTAATACCCATTAAATATTTGATTATTTTCAGGAACATTAAGTTCAAGATCACACATGCAGAGCTTTATGATCAATGAACACGTTAACAAAGGCACCACTGAACTGCACGTTAGTGAGGTCCACCAGTCAAAATGTATATAATCATTCACTGCATGCAGATGATATTTGAGCTAAGTACAGAGACTACGAGATATTCGGCAAAACTGAGCCACTTCTCTCTCTTGGATTCCTAGTATGTTAATCAGTTTGCAAAATCAGGTCATACACTTACATAGGTATATTTACAAATGAATGTTTTAATGGAATATCACAAATGTGAAACTGCATGAATGAACACATTTGTAGATATCAATTTGAATGAAAGACCATTTGGTTGAATTGTGAGGCCCGAAGGCTTCTCTAGCCCCACTCTGATAGGCACTAACTGATGCCATCTGGATAAACAGCACTAGTCAGCTATGAGCAAATCATATTTTCATTTATTTTTATTCACGAGGTAAAAACAACTAGTTACAAATTATCAAACTTTTTGACATAACAATTAGAGACCAATAAAAATCAGCTCACTGTGAAATGAAAAAAAAATGGATTGAATGATCACTGAAACTTACAGATCTATGATTTTTATGAGTCTGAAATGGAAGAAAGACTTGAATGCATGGTGATTCTTTAGTATAAGAACTGTAGGCGTGAATAAATGAGATCTGACCAAATGAAGGGAGAGGAACGCTAACCTTAGCTTTTACCCGTATGCGTCTGCTTCCCAGTTGTTACAGCTCTTTGAAGGACGCATTGAGGGTGTAGCACAGTGACTGATGCGATGCTCTTTCAGGCCTGTCATTGCTTGCCTGAGGCATCTCAATAGCAGCCACATTTTTACTTCCTCTGGCAAAAATGCAATCTTCGTTAATGAGATGCATCAGCCTTCTAATTTCTGTCTCTCTGAGCGCAAAGCAAATCCATCAACTGGGTTTAATTACTGCCTAAACAGTAGGTCTCACACAAAAGGCAAAGGCATTCAATGCCCTCATCTATGTCACAATAGAGGAAACAAACAGTCTGGAGACAAAAGGAAGAGGGAGATAGCAAGCCAGTTGTGGCTGGGGCTTGGGCAGGGGGAGAGAGAGAGAGCACATCTCTTTTAAGAAGAAAAAGAGACTTGCATTGAAAACAACTTTAAATAGAAAACATTAATATCCACACGCCATATGGAAAGAAATAATATATATCTTGTTGTTCAAAAGTCATTAAACCAGAATTTAGTCTTAGCAGCACCACGGCATTTGCCGGACTTTGTACTTTGGCTGCTTCACGCCTCATTTTCTTCATAAATAAAATGTGGTGAGTTTCTGAGAATTAAATTTAAGAAAGCATTTGATAGTGCTTAGCACTGAGCTCAGCCTACCATAAACTGTTTATCAATTCTACATGAGAGGCAGGGAGATAGCTCAGGGGCACCATGCCTGCCTGGCAAGCACAAGGTCCTGAGTTCAATTCCTGGTACCAAAAATAAGTAAAGAAATTCTACAAGAATCCATGCATATGAACAGCGTACATATACTCAAACACATATTTCTCTCACCCTACTATCCTCTCTTACCTAAGAATACTTTATTGTTGATTTTGTATTCCTGGATTGAAATGGCAACAAAGTCAGTTTTTAAGAAATATGCTTGTGGTTATCTGAAAAAAAAAACTTAAAATTCTTCTTCAAGACAGTAAGAATATTAAAACCATTGAGCGCAGCAGTTTAGAACCTGCGGACTACTAAGTCTCCACCCAGGAATTTAACGTGGTAATGGGAATTGGAAGGTGCTAATCAAAATGACATAGTTCCAACCCTGTTCTCATAGCCTGTCATTCAAATATTTCCCGCAGATAACCTCTCAAGAATTTCACAAAATTGTACATGATTCTTTGGACTCTTATAACTTCTCTTTCACAAAAAATATTTTATTCTGCAAAAATCCCAATTCAGTCCCATCACAAATAGCTGAGGACTTGCTCGGGTGTAGATATAAGGTGGCCAAAAGGCCAAAGTTATTAGAGTGTCTTCAAAATCAAATGCTAGCCAGTTAATTAGTATTTTTTTATATTATTATAAAACTCAAAGTAATAAATAACACCACAATAGAACTGAATTTATTAATGTTAATGTATTTCTATATTTCAAGCTTTATACTTTAAGCTAGTTCTGCATGAAGATGGTAAGCTTTATTTATATCTTTCTTAGAAATAACAAGAAATTCAGCCTACATATTTAACAGTTTATCCATCAAGTATTCCTTTCAAATGGTCAAAACCAGAATCATTTTTACTCCAGTGCCATAAACCAGAACCAAATTAAAGATTGAGGTTACCATATTCGGACGATTATAAATGAGAACTTTGTCAGGTTTGTGATGTCCTATCCTCAGGGCTTCTTCTATAAGTGGGATGTATTCTACTTTCCGTCCAGGTTCAATGCCAAATGAGGCTGTTACAAGCACCTTGGGCTAAAATGAAAAAAAAAGAGAGAGAGAGAGAGAGAGAAAGATTTAACCACCCTAATTAAGCTAATCACAATATTTGCGGCACAGATAGGCAGTTTAAATGTCAGAGTAATTTTATTCTCTATTGAATAAGTCATCTGAAAACCAATAAAGCCTTAAAAATGTTACAGAATTAATCACTTCCACATAAATTTCACCTCACTGTTCAAAATTACATACTCAGTGATGCTTTGAACTCATAGATACACACAGTGAAAAATACCTTCCAAAGGATTTGGGAAGCCAGGTGAATTTGCCATGATCCAATGACATGTAAACCTTTTAGCCTCTCACTAGCAAAGATACATGAACACTCATATGCACGCACACACACACACACACACACACACACACACACACACACACACACTAAGGACTGGTTGCTGCTGAAGTTGTAGCTTTTTTAGGGGAACAGCATCAGCTTGGTAGCAATTTAGGAAGAACTTCTAAGACTTTCTATATAAGAGTTTCTTTTAAATGCCTTAAGAGTCCAGAGAAGGAATAATCCCTTTTGAGCTTTTTCTTGTTCTACTCATTCACGTTCACAAAATATTCTATTTGCAATTTTATGTTCCTTTCAAAGGATGTTCGAATAATTTAAGCTTTAAGACTCACAAAGCCTGGGTATATCTGTGTCATTAAGGCACATTCAGCATGCTACTTAGCCTGACAACTTGCCAGTCATTCTTCAAGACACGTGAGCATGACCAAAAGGTGTCCCTGGCAGGGGCAGCAGTTCGGTTCATTGCCCCTCCTTAATACATGCTGAGCATGCCTCAGATATCCAACTGTAGTCAACATGCTTATTCATCTCCACTACTGCACTGTAAGTTCTCCAAAATCAAGGTTGGGTATCATTTATGTTTGTGTTTCCTCTGTCTGACACAGTGGTAGGCATACCATAAACACTCAAGAAAAATTATGGAACTGAACCAAAGTACAAATTAATTTGCAGGAACAAAATGTCTTTATTATTTATAGCATGTGTTTCTTCACAAAGAAATCCAAAGCAAGTGAAACATCTAATAAATGATTCAAGAGATACATAATCAATCCATGAGTGCATCTATTCTTGAATTCTGATTGCTGGTTACCAGACATTTCATCTAAGGAAGGTTTGTCTGTGCCAGCGATATGCATATACAATTTTTAAGTTTTGAATATCATTGAATATGCATAGAATGGAACTCAGTGCAGTTATATAGCTTGGTTATAGGAGGTGGAAGCAAAAAGAAGGCCAGATCTATCTGACTCCAGAACCTTTCGCTTTCTACTACATCAAGCTAACATTTAAAAGGAAGAAAGGAAGTGAAAAGAAAAGAAAAGTAAGTCTCATTTTCTTTTATTATATTTTTAAGATAGTATTTAAATGTAATGCACATTTTAATATCTGCAGTATTTGTAAAATTGCTGTAGGTAACAATCTCTAAGAGTAGAATCCTGAATAAATGAAGGTAATGTTAAATATCAAACTGAAAACATATACGGAACCTACCACATACAATAAGGTCTTCTGGAAAAACAATCTGTTTCAGGTTTCTAGTAATAACATTTCATTAGGGTTTGGGGGCCCACATTAACTTGTTGGAATACATCCTTTTCATCTTTATCTGCTAAAATAAAAATATTTTCTATAACCTATTTATTTAAAATCTATGATATAACATAGACTTCATTTATTGGTTTTCTTTAAATATCTCACATGTGTGTTTCCGCATCCATGTTCCCTTCTTAAATTTCACCTTCCCAGTGGCCTTGGTCATAAAAGTATGCATTTATTGACTAAGCTCATGTACTAGGTTATATAGTTTGGAGTGTATCTGTTATAAATGCAAACTCCTGTCTCTGTATATATATTTTTAAATTTCCTCATACCTTATAAAAATGTTTTGGAAGGGAAGAAATATATCCAAAATCTTTGCTAGAATTTCTAGAGTCTATAGTTTCAGAGAAGTCATCAGTTTCACACCGATTTGTAAATGAGTAACAGACTGATAATTCCCCCTGGAATTTTTCATAAGCACTAATTCAATATGATTTAAAAAAGAAAAGATCTGAGGCAGTCAGTTCACAAAACAGCTTCCTAGTGTTAACATCTGGTCTATTACCAATGAAATGAGATACAAACCAATCAGGGAACCTTCCATGTATACTAGTACCTTTTCCCTGTTAAGAATGTCTAATTTGCGCTGGGGATTTAGCTCAGCGGCACAGCACCTACCTGGCAAGCGTGAGGTCGTGAGTTCGATTCCTGGTACCGGAAATAAACAAACAAACAAACAAAAGAATGTCTTATCTTAACCTTATAAACCTCTAAAGGTCAGGAATCTCCCCTTCCTACAATGAACTTCTTTCCTCGTCTTCCTATATCCTAGATACTTAAAAATCATGACATAAAAATATGCAACTCAAGTATTAGTTTTCTCTAAATATGTCAGATACTTGTCTTTATCGCTGTCTTTTTAAAAAAACTTGACCTGTCCAATGGCCTTGCTGAGGCAACGATGCATTTATTGACTGAATTCTTTGAAGAGGCTTTTCATTCATATTGCTATTGTTCTACAAACATGCCACCTGCCAAATGTTCCTACTTCAACTTCTACCCTCTCGGTCATACATGTCATTTAGAAAGCTTTCCAGTTCTTAGCTTCCTTAAACCATGGCATTCCTGTTTAAACATTTTTATTGATTTGTCTACAGTTCAGAAAAACCCTGTCCTTGCAAGCTCACCCCTTCCCCCTTTGCTGTCACACTAACTTGCTGGCTGCTGTCCCAAATCACTCTCACCCTTTCTTCTTCTGAATGATTTGTGTCCTTTCTCCATTTTGGGGGATCCACTGCGTCATTCTCTTAAACTACATGAATCTCAGCCAAGATTTTTAACTTAATCTTCTCCTTTTTCAGGAATCCTTCCTTAGCCATCCAACCGAAAAGAAAATTCTCCTTCTAATTAGGGATCTACTTCCTCTAGTTAGGGATCTTGTGGCATAGTCTTATTGAGACACAGGCATACCTATTTGCTTATTCATTTTCTAAAACTACAACAGCAGAGCTGAGTGGTGGCCTAGAAAGATTTCTTTCACATAGAACTAACTCAAAAATAAATGTTTGATTAATGCTCACACATCAAAGAAAGAATAAATTTTAATTATCCTGTTTGTAAGGAAAAACAAAGGGTAAAGTCTTGATTGATTTCTCCACAGGTTAGTGTGGCTATTCCATGGGTAGCCACAATTTGATTTCCCCAGAGAAAGCACTTACCTTTGAATGATCAATGCGACTGCTTAGTTCTTTGGATGCAAATCCCCCGAATATGAGACTGTGGATAGCTCCTATCCTCGCACATGCCAGCATGGTATACATTGCTTGTGGAATCATGGGCATGTAGATGACCACAGTGTCCCCTTTTTTGATACCGTACTTGACCAAAACACCAGCTAGTTTAGAGACCTGTTAAAAAATCATTAAATTAAGACAGTAACTATAAGAAGTGATGACCACCTCCCTCCATCTCTTTGTCCCTTCCCCATCTGAGAAAGATCTATCACTCTACGTCCTATTATCCATCTCTTATTTTGCTCTTTATTTATATTTTGGGTTTCTCATACAAGAGCAACCATGCAACAGTTAAGCTCATGTGTCTGCTTTACTTATTTAAACATTATAGTCTCAAGGTGCATCAGTTTTCCTGTAAATGACCCAAGTTTATCCTTCTTTGTTGCAGAGTAGTACTCCACTGTGTATAAACACATTTTCTTTATCCATTCATCTGTTGATGGACATGTAGGCAGTTTCCAAGTTTTATCTATTATGAATTGTGCTACTATAAACATGATTATGCATGTATCCCTGTGATATGATGCCTCTAACTCTTTCAGAAAGATACCCAGAAGGGAAACAGATAGGTAAATGGAATTTCTAGTTTTAGTGTTTTGAGAAGTCTCAGTACTACTTTTCACAATGCTTACTCTACATTCCCACCAACAATGTTAAAAGTTTCCTTTTTCTTTCCAGCCTCACCAGAGTTTGTTATTATTTGTGTTCTTGATGACAGCCATTTTTTTCTGGAATAAATGAAATCCCAGTGGTTTTAATTTGCATTTCTCTAATGCCAGCAGTGTTGAGCATTCCTTTGTGTTTACTGACCTTTTGTCTTTCTTCTTCTGAGAAGTTTCTGTTCACTTAAAGTGTCCATTGTTGATTGAGTCTTTTATTTGGGATTTCTAAATTTTTGAGATTTTTATATATTCTAGATATCACTCCTCTGCCCAAGGAATAGCCTGCAAATATTTTTCCCATTATGTAGATTGTCTCTTCACTCCCTGGCCTTAGAGTACTTGTTGCCTTTACTAACTAAAGACAATTATTTCTTCTTATTCTTTGCTCATTATTTTTTATAGCAAGTAATCTCCTTTCAGACCAACTCACAAAAACTTTTTACTTTTAACATGTATTTTTAAGACCAAACATACAAATACCTCTTTTCCCTTAACATGAGCTTTTGCAATTTCCAGTGTTGAAGTCAAAATAGATCATAAGCCCACACATTATATAATTTGTTGCAAAAAGTCCTTCCCACAGGACAATTGTGGCAGGCCATTAGAGTTAAGCTCAGCTATAAATAACTCAATATTCTTTCACTTAAAAATGTTTTTTTCAAACATGTCATGGTGCTAACTGCCTATAATGACAGCATTCTGGGATTATGAAGCAGACAGATCATAAATTCAAGCCTAGCTTGGGCAAACTAGTGACTTTGTGATACATTGCCTTAGGATAAAAAATAAAATGGGATGGCACTACATAGCTCTGTGTGAAGGCCTTGAGTTCAGTTCTCACTACCACAAAAAATTCACTTAAAATATTCTAAATATTCCTTCACTTAAAAGATGGGGGGCTTGACATTGACATGTACTAAATTCTCCCCCCAAACAATAAACATAAAAATCGTGTTACATATTATTTTAAAAGATCACCAACCTTAATGAAGAGGACACGAAAGCAAGCAAAAGGTAATGGAGAACAAGGGAGGGATGGATGCCATTGTCAGTGGGAGAATCGGGGAGACTTCACCAAAAAAGTGGCATTTTAGCAAAGGCATTCACAAGATTAAGAATAAGTAGGCCCCTGTGGGTACATTATTCTAGGCAGTGGGAACCATAGTACAAATGTGTAAGTAGAATGAAGATCGCAAGTGATACTCTTCCTTGCAGAAGCAAGGACAACCTGAAGCTGCTGACACAGCAGTCCATCAGGTCAGTGCTCAAGGGCCTGTACGAGTCCAGCGGGAAACTGGAAGAACTCTGGCTTGAGCTCTGGCTTCTGAACACGATTGTTCAAGAAAATGAATAGAGGAGGCTTGAATAGGGAATTAGGCACCATAGCTATTCATGGTTCCTTTTATTTCAATGTAGCTCTCCTTGAAAACAAAGAATTCTGAATCATGCCTGTTCTTTCCTCTGTTTCTTTATTTGGGTTATCTACAAAGATAGGGGGAAATGTGATTAAAATTAAGGACTATAGTGAAATAGAGAAAGTTTGAAAGAACTTAGTGTTTTATTCTTCTCTGTATTCCAAACTCTATAATTGAGTGCTATGTTTTAGGAACTCCACAACTGGCCAGCAGGAAGTTATAAGAAAACTATACCAAAGGAATATAAACCTTAAATAGAACTTAAATTCTATATGTAGCTTTAAAACCAAGACATACATTGGGGGCCTGGGGATTTAGCTCAGTGGCACAGCGCTTGCCTGGCAAGCACAGGGTCGTGAGTTCGATTCCTGGTACTGGGAAAAAAACAAAAGCCAATAATAATAATAATAATAATAACAAGATACACATTGGGAATCTAGAGCTGGACAATTCTCTGTTTAATCCCTGCAAAAACTGATTCCATTCTGGGATGATACTGCTGAATATGCTCTTTTCATACAGGTCTGAGACAGATAAAGGAAAAGGAGTTTAAATATTCACAGCTGGAATGTAAACATTGTGAATGGCGTCTTTTATAATTTAGATCTAAAAATCCCTCCCCGCAAATTCTCATGTGTGTGGCAAGTGATAGGACTGCAAGGGTACTACACTGATCAGTGGTTTCATCCAATGACAAGGTCAGTAGCAGAAGGCAGTATTAGGAGGTGAGGTCTGGTTGAAGGAGGGCCACTGGAGATGTGTCCTGGAATGGTGTATTCACATCCTTGCCTCCTCCGTTCTTATTTTGCTCCCTGGTTTCCATGGATTGAGCACCTTTTCCTCTGCCATCATGTCTATGTTTTGCAGCCTGCCAACCATGGACCAGACATGAACCAAAGTAAAACTCTCCTCCTTTGAATTGCAAGTGTGGGGTATTTTGTGACAGGAAAGTGACAAAAAAGATTTTGGTACCAGAGAAGTGTGTTGTGACTGCAACTGTACCTGACCATGTGGTTTTGACAAAGCCTTCAACAACGTTTTATGAGAGGTGTTTGGGAAGGTTTGTAGACACCAGCTAGAGAAGCCCCAGAAAGCTATTAGCCACACCAAGTGGAAGATTCTGGTCTGATCTCAGAAGACCAGATTGCTGATAAAAATGCACACAGTAAAGGCACGGCCGAAGAGGTTTCAGTAGGGAACAAGGAATATTTTGGCAGTTGGCCAAGAAGCCATCTGTGCTATGCTCTGGCAGAAAATTTATCTTTTTCCCCATGTTCTGAGACTTTTTAGCATACTGAGATTAAGAGCAGCAGACTAATTAATCTGCTGGAAAAAATTTAAAGACAACCCAAAGTTCAGATTGTGGCATGAGTGCTGCTGGCAGATTTTAGCCAATTCTGTAATAAAAATCAGTATTAAATGGCATAACTAAATAATTTGGAAATCTTGCAGTTTCATCAGAAAGGAAGCACCTGTAATCTTAGGGCCATAGAGATCGTGGCTGCTGAAAAGACTGCACCAAAAAATAAAATCCGAGTATTTTACATGAACACAATATAAAAGTGACTTAAAGGCATCTCAAGAATCAGCTAAGTCTCACCCTTGATACACTCAAGGGTGCAAAACTGGAAAGGCTTCATTTGAGAAGAGAGCCCCAGGGTGTCCTGTTCATGTAGCCTAACAGAGGGAAACATTTCCCCAAGTTCAACCATCCAAGTATTCAGAGCCCTCTGCAGATAAGTCCTAAAGCGGCATATTTACAGTTTGAGCTGGCAGTAGATGTTGGTATCAGGCACGTAATGTTGGTTTTATAGGAACACAAAATGCAAGAGTTGTGGGGCAAGAAATGCTTCCACCCAGATTTCAGAAGAAGGTTTAGGAAGCCAGGACATGTGCCTCTGAAAGGCTGCAATGGGCAATTTCTTTGTAGCTCATATCTCCCCGCAACCTGCTCTAGGTGCTGGACATGGAGCTACTGGATTTAATGTTTGTCCAGGTGGGTTTCAGTCTCACTTTGGTCCCCTTTTTTGTTTTTATATTTTTGTTGTTTAACTTTTTTTTTTTTTTGATACCAGGAATCAAACTCACGACCTTGCACTTGCCAGGCAGGCGCTTATGCTACGGAGCTACATCCCCAGCCCCTTCTTTTCT